TAATTATTCGGTTCAGCTGTAAAAATATACCAAAATCTTCAAGAAGAGCCACAACTAAGGTGAAAAAATAAGTTTTATATTATTTGAATGTTTTATGCTATTAGATGAGAGATGGTCAGTGAAGTTCACTGTATCGTAATGAGGTGTTAAAAATGTGGCACCAAACTAAACTATAAATAACTATAAATAGTAAGTATAATACATAGAATATTCAACAGTATTTTTTAAGGATCTCTGTAAATACTGTGCACCTTTAACCCAAACCAGAGAGGCAGCAATAGAAACACAGGCAGAGGTCAGTAGGACACCATGACTCCACTGTATCTTTACATTGATTCAATTGTTGACAATTGTCTTGAGTTTTTTATTTGCCAGTAAATGTCTCCAACTGCTTGTTTTTTTAGGTCATTTTGAATTAAAATATTGTTGATTATCAACAGAATTTATCACTTATTGTTAAAGTTTAAACCTATCTACAAATTTACATTAACATACCCTTCTTTTATTACTGTGGTGGAAAGTACTTAAATACACTTTTGAAGTACTTTCTGCTGCTTTATGCTTGTTTCAATAACAATAATAACACATCACAAAATGCTTTAGCACATTCAAACACATTATCTGCCATCTTTGGCTGCACTGCAAGCTGCCCTACAGGTATATTTCTAAGCAGCAACATCTGCTTTACTGGTCCAGACTTTCTTTGGTGTGACAAGCTTCCTATCAGAGATATTAAGGTCGGAGACATTTCAGTTGAAGACCCAGAAGTTTGTAAATCCTTGGTACACAAGACCTTGACAACAGAAGATTCATTGCTCGATCACTTAAAGATCTCCAGCTGGACGAGGTTAATAAAAGCCATCAGTGCCAGACTCATGCAACATGTCAAAGAGCTAAAAGGGTTATTTTTACAAAATTCACTCACCGCTAGAAGTCGCACTAGAGCAAAACAACGGACATTAAATCCAATCAGACTCCATTGACAAAACCAGTAATTCAGATCAGTGTCTGAATTGTAATTTATCTGTGGGAATCGGTGGAAGCTGGGAGAAAGTTGGCTGATAGGTATTGGGGTGTTAAATTACGGGTGAAATATATAAATATAATCTTTTGGCATAAACTCAGTATGTTGTCTTGAATGCTCTTTTTCAACATCACATGCATATTTGCATATTAGTTGCCACAGTACACCTGCATGTAGTGGTTTGTTCTGTGATACTGAGGGTGGCTGGTTAGCAAGGGACGTGTTTAAGGGAGATAAGTTATTGCTTGGCCAGTCTTCTGTGCCCACCAACATTAATTGCTGTTTGATTAACTGTTTTTTGTAAACTAAAGAGCCTGTATTCTTCAGTTGTTGTGTGTTGTTCTCAGATCTGACACTGGACCACATCGGTTAAAAGAAAAGTGATGGCAGCAGCTTTTCATTCTGTCAGGTTACTTACATTGACCTCAATAAAGAGTTATTACAATATTTAACTTGTCTTCAGTTCACACGTATCTTCCTTTTCTTGGGAAAGACCTTTAGTGTCACAGATATCCAGCTGTTGAGATATTGAAGCAGATATTGACTCCTGTGTTGGTTCTCTTCTGTTTGGATGATGTATTGTGTTACTCCCGTCTGTCTGTCCTACCACCCTGTATCCAATCCTGAGCTGATATATTTCTATGTTTTACTGCCCAAACAGGATCTGTTATGTGTATGTTTGCACACTCGTCTTTGTGCCATCAGATTGTGTCATGTGTCTTTAATTCTTTTCTGTGGAAAACAGGAGCAGGACCTCCTTTAATAACAGGAGATTGAACATGTTATGAAAATAAGGCATTAACCGGCCTGTATTAAAACTAACCTTTCCTGCATCTTAATAGCAGCTAATGACATATTTTATATATGTTTCATATTCTATTCAAAACTGTATAATGAGTTAAAACACTGAACTCAGTAACTGCAACAACTTTTTATAAAACGAGTGACTTCGATGAATTCTGAGCAGATTATTTCCTGTTTAGGGAAGTTTTTTCTTTTTCTGTCTGTATTTTGTATTTTTTAAATAATTTTTAACAATCATACAGAGTTAACAGGCTTCTTTTTTGACAAATTTAGTTTTTTCTTCTCCCTGAAACTTGTTTATTGTTCTATTAGACAATTTACTGTGTATATTGTTAAATATTTTCTTACACTCCTTAAAATCAAGAAGACCTTGCACACTGATTATCTGGTTATCAGGGCTGCTGTCAGTGGAGGGGGGGGGTATATCAGGCAGACAGAGTTGATGTGTTAAAAGCAGGAAAAATGGGCAGCATTTGGATCTGAGCTACTTTGACAAGAACCACATTGTGA